GGTGCCCAGAACACTATATACGTAATAAATAAATTTAAAAAAAAAAGAAGCCACCACAATTTTTTTATTAAGAATGCACATAAAGTATGCATGAACTTGCAATGTGAGCAGCAATTTGCTTCCTGTTATTTTTAAAGTGCTTCTTCACACTGTGCAAATTAGAGAGATCGGGCTGTCCTGCTTTTCATCCCTTTGTTTCCTGTCCTCAAATGTGACTTCTATTATGTATTAAAATGAATTTGTGTAATAAAACAAAAATGAGTGTGAACTACCCAAGGAAGACACACCTAAAATCCTCCACCCCAGGAAACCCTTCCCATGATGGAAGACTATCCGTGGCAACTCTGATGTACAGTTTCTGAGAATGGGACATTCTGATGTGACTGAAGTACATTGTAATTGTGAGCAGCCATAGTCCCTCAGACTTTGGGTGTTGGGTTGACAGCTGTGATTTGCATGGTTTAATCTCTGAGGTTGAATTTTCTAAAGCGAGTATTTTTATAAGAGTTTATGTAATGGAAATGAGATGACTTGTGATACTACCAGAATGCCCAGACATCACTGATAGGAGAAGGTCATCATTCTTGTATATGGAAATATATATACTATTAATAGTCAGATGAAAAGTCCCATAATACTGAATTAAAGAGAAATATAGTCAAAACAAAATAGACTGTGTAATATGCAGAAAATAATTGGGGATTCCACATTGGTATGAATTGAATTAAGTTCACTCTAAGCTTTCTATGTTGAGTCTCTAGCTTCCAGTACCTCTTATTGTGTCTTTGAAAATAGGTCCATTTGCATATGTTAAGAGGAGTTCCTATTGCTGTAGGGTGGACCTTTAATAAACAGTTATTGATGTCCATATTAGAAGGGCGGTTTGGGCCCAGGAATTCTGTGTGAAGACAGGAGTTAGGCCACCAAACTTGAGGGACCGTCAAAAGCTGTCAGCAAGGATGGAACAGAGAACTCCCTTGACCTTCAGAGGCATGCACCTGTTGGCACCTTCACCTCAGACTTCTGGCTTCTAAAATTGTGACACAGTCTCTTGCTGAAACACTGTACCCTCCACCTACCACCTGTTTCTTTGTTGCAACCCTCCCAAATTAATACACTTTCAGTTGAAGAGATATAAAGGCCTTCTTCATCTTCCAGGAAGGTGTTGATGCTCAGTTGAAAGTGACAGGCTTTGAGTTAGCTTGCACAATACCATATGAACACACACATTGGATTTTCCTCTTGATTGCTACATGAGATTGAGTAAACTTGCATTTCCTAATTCCAAGACTGTAACTCAGATTTCCTCTTGACAAAATGGGTGCAGAGAGGAGGATTGTGGAGCTGAAAAGATGTTTTGACCTTTTGCAACGTAGAGCTGATTCTGTCAGATGGGAACAGTCTTCAGGCTCTTCAATAGTCCCATGATGAATTGAGTCAAGGCAACAAAACATGCCCAACCTCCAACCCCTGCTTTTGGGTACTTTTTGAAGAACAGAGTTAGACCTGGAAAACTAAATAAGAGTTTGTGGTACATTGTTAACAGTGTTGCTCAGCTTGTGTTTGTCTATAAACAGAAGTTTCTGTCCTGCCTGGCCCCACAGCTATTCAGCCCCAACAAAACAGACAGAAGCTTATATATATTAATTATAAACTGGTTGGCCTATTAGCTCAGTCTTATTTTTGACTAACTCTTACAAACTTAAATTAACCCATAATTCTTGTCTATGTTAACCACATGGCTTGGTACCTTTTTATCAGTGAGACATCTTGCTTCCTCTGTATCTGGCTGGTAACTGCAGACTGAGCCTTTTACAATAATTCTCCTAGTCTGGTTGCCCTATCTATACTTCCTGCTTGGATACTGGCCAATCAGTGTTTTATTAAGCCAATACAAGTGACGAATCTTTACTGGGTACACAGCACTTCCCCTTTTTATCTTTACAAAATAAGAACTATGAATCTAATCTCCTTTGTTTAGTTTTTTTCCTGACTGTCATCCATAACAACTTGTAACCAACCTCTGAAGAGAACGCATGCTTACAAGGCAGCCATGATTTTGCTGGCCACAAAGATGCTGAAAAGCCAGCTGCTACAAACTCATAGTTTCTGAGCTGGGACCAAAAAAAAAAAAAGGCTTGCTTTGATTTTTAAATAAGGATGAAAATGTAGAAAAATAAGAACAGTAAAGCAAATGTTTATGGGCAGTCTCAGAGCGCTTTGATTGTTGAGGAAGTCACAGGAGGAAACCATCTTCATTTGAGTTGTTTGAATGTTGGTTGGGGAAAAAAGAATCATACGGTCACTCAGCTTTTGGAGGCAAGGTAATCAAAACTTAAATATAAGTTAGGGAATGGACTTGTAGCTCAGAAGTTAAGTGCTCACCTGACGTGCAGAGAGCTCTGGGGTTTTGCCCACAGCAGCACTTTCTGTCAGGCATGGTGGAGGCAGGAGGATTAGGAGTGCAGAGTCCTCTTTGGTTCCCTAGTGAGTTCAAAGTCAGCATGAGCCGTACATGGTACTGTTCTGAAACAGCAACAAAATTTACCAAATAGTGCTGCCATAACAAGCAGGAATCTGTCATAGCTTATCAGGGAGTCCAGGGTACTTTAAGTATGAAAACACATGGCTATTCAGAGATATGGAGCGTAGATGATGACCTCCTACCTATAAAGGAACTGGACTTACTGGAAACAGAGTGACTAGATGTTCCTGGGGAACAGGAAACTTAATTTTTATAGTTCTAAAAGCCTGCCATTGCAATAAAAACACATTCTAAGCCAGGCGGAGGTGGCATATACCTTTAATCCTAGCACTTAGGATGCAGAAGCAGGCGGATCCCAGTGAGTTCTAGGCCAGCCTGGTCTACAGAGCTAGCTAGTTCCAGGACAGCTAGGGCTGTTACACAGAGACACCCTGACCCCCAAAAAACCAAAATAAATAAATAAATACCACCAACACGCATTCTAGATCCTAGCATCTTTGTTGGGAGATCATGTAACTTGGGCTTATTATCAGAATGGATTGACGATAGAAAACAGACACATGGTTGGCTGAGGAGCTGAAATGCAAGTCAAAGCGAACCTCATGCTTCATTGTAGTTTTTTTTTTTAAGATTTATTTACTTATTATGTATACAACATTCTGCCTTTATGTATGCCCACACTCCAGAGGAGGGCGCCAGATCTCATTACAGATGGTTGTGAGCCACCATGTGGTTGCTGGGAATTGACCTCAGGACCTCTGGAAGAGCAGACAGTGCTCTTAACCACTGAGCCATCTCTCCAGCCCCCATTGTAGTAGTTTTACACAGTGCATTAAAAAACTTCCTTCCCCTCGGGCTGCAGGTAGTCACTGGAAAGGAAGAAATGTTACTGAAAAGGGAAACAGAAAAGAAATATCCTGTTCATAGACAGGGAAAAAATGTTATTTTTAAACTCATTCTGGTTCTAATTCGTTTTATTTTGTTTGTATCATTAAAATTTGTTATGTATTCTAGAAACATACTATATAGCCCGTTTAACTGTTCAGCAGAGGTAAAGGGACAGTAAGAATGGTTGTAGAAGTACTGTCATTAAAAATCTTTGTTGAGTTAGTGTTGTTAGTACTAATGGGCACTGTTAACGTCACCATGTCTGTGTGAAATTGGTGAACTCACACACGTCCTGACATCTGACACACTCTGTTTAGGTGGCAGTGGGTCACTGGTTTGATCATTAGGCATCCCTCCTCCCTTATTACTCCAGTGTCACGAAAGACAATGAACCTGAAAATAGATCCAGGAAAGCTAATTCTATGGCCAAACCCCCAAAATAATGTTTCGTGTTATTTTAATTGATCATGGAATACCTGATCAGAAAGTAGTTTACCAAGTTTTGTGTGCATCTGAGGGTTGGGAATGGGCAGACATTTCTCCAATTTATCACAGCTCTGATAGGATTAGACATGCTGGAGTGACCCCATCTGCCTTGTGGCAGTTGTAAAATCTGTGTGTGTGTGGGGGGGGGGGGGACTCATGCATGGAAGTCACAGGACAATTTTCCTTCCATGTGTGATCTAATCATCAAACTGAGCCATCTCACCAGTTCACCTCATAGCAGTATTAAAAGTGTACATTAAATACAATTCCAAGAATTTTATTTCTAATGTTTGTTGTATTCTGATATATTTTTCATTTTATTACATTGGCAGAATGTGCTAAGTATTGTTTCAATTTTGAAAGATCCCAGGCTTGTGTGTGTGTGTGTGTGTGTGTGTTTTAGCTATAGGATCTTCTAGTTGACAGGTATATATTTCTAGATCTAGCGTTGTTGTGTTTACCAAACATATACTTGCTTACAGATGAACTATCACAGTATGGGATAATTACACTTTTGAGATGTTTAAGCACTTCTACTTCACAATGGATATTAAAGGAATGCCCATAGTGTTGACTATAAAACTCTTTAACTTTCAAAATTCCCCCTTCCATGTGATCATTTTCCTGAAGTGGTCTGAGGATGCTGTCGCGGTGGGTGGTAGAGAGCGGCAGTTCACTGTGAGTCATTGCTTGATTTCTGCTTTCCTGGGTGAACAGAAAGTGCTGAGTGGGCTTAAGTGTGTGATGGACCATCTTTTATCACCTGTAGAGTTCCAAGCATGTTTCTAAAGTCTGAAGAAGAAAATCAGGAGGCTGGAGAGATGGTTAAGAGCACTTGCTGCACTTCCAGAGGACCTGGGTTTGGTTCCCAGCACCCATACGATGGCTCACAACTGTTACTGTGATCTAGGGGACCTTCTTCTGGTCTCCCAGACTCCCAGGCATGCATGTGGTGCCCACATTCACACACCTAAAAACATATAAACTAGTTTTTTAAAAAAGAAGAAAATTAATTTAATGATAAAAGGTGGACACCTTGTCTGTTTTTGTAGCGATGGATTGTACACCAGAGTGACTAGCTCTTTCTAGAATATTTGTATTTTTTGATGAGTCCCTGACACTGTTTCTGTCTCTTATCCAGAAAGATGGAATGCTAGCGTACATTGCCAACTTCCGCTTGCTTGCCGAGCTTTCCAGCCCCTTTGTGAACCAGAGGTAGGTTACAAATTATCACTTTGAGGCTGTGTGGTTTCATTTTAATCTGTGGGAACCTTTTTTCCAAGATACAGAACTCAAGTCCCCACTATTGCACCAAAAACGCTTTATCCACAGAGCCATCTCCCCAGCCCCTCTCTGAAGCTGTTAGATGCTCCGTGAATTCTTTTATAGCCAGAAACGTGAGAGTGAGGTGGTAGATTTCCCAAGCCACAGACTGAGTGTGATGTTTCTTTCACTCTTTTTTTTTTCTTTCCAGGTGGTTCTTTGAAACCCTAAAGTACCCCAAGTTTTCCAAAGTCAACGTCATCAATGGAGTTCTCATGACAGTGGTCTTTTTCGTAGTGCGGATCCTCGCGATACCTCCTTTGTATTTCTTCATATACTCTGTGTACGGAACAGAAGCCTACGTGAGGCTCGGATTTGTGATCCAGTGTACCTGGATCACTACCTGTCTTATTTTGGATGTGATGAATGTCATGTGGATGATCAAAATTACAAAAGGATGCATCAAGGTCATCTCTCTCATCAGACAAGAGGAAGCCAAGAGTAGCCTTCAGAACGGAAAACTTGATTAAAGGCGTGCTTCATCAAACACCGGTGTTTCCAAAGCCATCTTCATTCCTCCCCGCGTCACGTCTACTGATAGATGAGTTCTCGGCATGCTCCTCTGCTGCTCTGTTCCTTATGACTGTTTGTTATTCAGGGTTTCCGTGTCTTCTTCTCTCTCTTTCATCTTTAGAAAAGGAAAATAAAATTTAGTTTTCACTCCCAAGTTATCTTCTTTCCTTCTGCCTTTTAAGCATGGCTAGACATCGACAGGTTTCAGTAGAAGTTGTAAGTGGAGTGGAGCGCCTTTTCTGAACTCGCAGTGTGCATGGGCATCATTCTCTGCAGAGAAATGACTGTGGGGGTGCCCCGCTTCACTGAAGGAGCGAGAACTGCTTTTAAGTCCGTAAGCGGCTCGGTTTGTTGTGCTGTGTTCTTTTCTAATGCCAATGCCTGCGGAGGGTCTGATTTCTAAGTTGCTAACATGTCCTTTTCCAGGCCATCAGAATTGACACAGTTTCATTTGGGTATGTGGTCATCTATTATGAAGGAGTATTTCACTCTTTGACAATATCATGTTTGAACATACTCCCTGCATTTTAAGATTTCAGATGCTGCTTTATGTCTTTAGTGTTTCATCAAACAGTTTTAAAAACTGTATGTCAGGCAAGGCTTAAGACCCATTGTGTGGACCTTGGGGACGAATGTCTTCTAAAAGTGCATGCTGGGAACATGGCTTCTGTACTACTGCCTTCCCTCTGTTTCCTTGTACTTTTTCCATGAAAAAAAAAAAAAAAAAGATACTCTTCTTGCAAAATCTTCCCTGAGTTTAAAGCCTGATGCCAGAATACCAATCTTTCCCAGAATGCATTTGTCATACCCCAGAAATGGGCCTTGTGTTGATTGGTTAGACTGACGGCACCACAGACAGGTCAGTGTTTGGGTTTATCCGTAGACTTTCTCAGGCTTGCTTAGTCCATCTTTGCTTTGCATTTTTCTTGAGCAGGAAGGAAGAAGGTGATTTAACCCAAGTATTCTGATGATCAAAACTGTCATTCTATGTGAAGAAAGTGTGTGTATGTGTTTACTTTCACTTTGGTTCTTGCAATCCAAATAGAGAATTATATATTTAGCTATTATTGCCTTTATTTATTTTTTTCTGAAGTACTTGACTTTAATGATTGTTCTTAAGAAAAAAAAAGAGACATAATTCAATTAGTGGTGAATACTTGAATTTAACTGAACCTAAACCAAAACATCTAATCCATCTAGAGTCTCAGATTGAAGGGGAATGTTTCGTTATTCATCTTATGATGGTGAAAGGAGAGTGGTGTAATGTAGTCAGGATGGTTACTGTAATGCAGTTTCATCTGATTGTCTGGTACAGAGAGAGTCTGGCAAGGTCTAGTATGTTTAAAGATGGGAATTAAAAATTCAGCCAATCAAATGTTAAAATCAGCTCCGTTTACTTTTGAAAGATAAAGTAATGTAACAGATAGGACTTCTGTAAAGCAGCTAATGTTTCATTGGTAACGGCTTGTTTATTCTACATCAGAGGCACTCAAGAGTATTGGTTGTCTAAAGGATGAAGGTATAGGAACGCAAATGATTTTACATTGTTCTCGGCTCTTACAAGAAAAGTGGGCTATTTTTTTTTAAAGGAAAGAAGACATTTATATTATAAAACTGTTTTATAAATTCACCAAAAAGTGTTTTTTTTTGACACTTTGAATATTGCTGCAGTTCTGAACACAGATTTCAAACTCACCATCAAAACAATGACAGCATACAGTTAAGAATCTCCATGTAAGCAATAACTGTTTCCTGCTTAAAAGGTCATTGCTGTTACTTTTAATTGATTGATGTAGCCAGTCATCAAATAAGTATATTCGGGATATCAAATGTTAAACTAAGGTTTGCCATTCCCTTTGTCAGCAGCCCTTACTAGCTGCAGCACCCAGAAGTCAGTTCTCCACGTTCTCTTGGGGAATCAGTGCAATGGGAATGCCCCGTGAACTGCCACTACAATGCAAGCCAGCCTCCGGATGGGGCTGTATTTTTGCTGTGGTTATATTTATCAACCGAAAATCCAAATAAAGATATAACATAATATTTACTAAAACAATGAAATTTTCATTTATTGAATGACAAATTTTTGCTAGATATTTTAGATATTAAGTATTTTGGCTACGTGGATTGATTTAAACAAGTCCATTAGGCATTCTGATATTTAACAACTCTTAAAAAAATCTTTATAGAAAATAAAAGCAAATTGGTATACATTTTTAAGCAATTCTATTTTTCTAGAAAAGATTAGTGACAATCTGAATGTGTAGTACTCTAGAAAATAAAAAGTTCTCATGAAACTTAAAAAAAAAGCAAAAATAGCATGCAAGATCGTGGATCCTGCATTCAATATTTTGTGTGAGAGACTAAAATTTTTAAGCTTGGGTTTATAGAATTTGCACTCTTGTGTCTAAAATCACTTAGAGGACTGTTTGCATTTACTTAAAATTAAAAATGAGTTACGTATGCATGCAAGGAAATTAACTCAAATTACTCTGTGGTAGGTTGACTTTTTAAATTTTAACTGCTTTTTTGTTATCTCATGGGCCAGTTAGGAATCAGGAGGAATAATGGTAGACCGTTACCATCTCTGGGAGCCGGTTTGCTGTATTATGGATAAACTGGGTCCATAGGGGATCTGGTTGGAAATTACTTAGTCTATAGGTATTTTGAATGAAGTTCTCTCAGTAATTTTAATAATTTGTTTAACTCCGCTTTTGTTCAAGTGTCAGATTTTTTTAATTGCTTCCTCTTGAGACCTTGGGCATTTGGAGACGAGTTCTTCTTGAGGATTCGCTGACTGCTGGTGACATTTCTTTGGCATCTGGAAATGTCATTTTTCATGGAGGCACAGGGAAAAGTACCATCAAAATGTGTGTTTCTTTCCTTTCAGTTTTAAGAAAAATCTACATGTCCCACAAGCCTCTATTAACATACCTGGATGAGTTTGTTCCTGCATTGCTGCAAGTATGTAAATAGGCAATCTCAAGGATTGGTTTGTTTGCATTGCCTGACTTTAAGTACTTCAGTGGCTTGGGCAGCTAAAAAGCCCACATAGTTATGGGCATCAGTAATGATTCATAGAAGCTTATGCATTTTTGCGTTTGAGATTTCCTCAAAAGCAAACATTTTACTTTTGTCAGAAAAAAATGGCACCGTGCTTTCCAGCAGGTGTGAGCCACCACACCGGTGAGAATCTTCCCGAATGCGCACACACACACCTCCTGGCCTTAACTACAGCTCACCGACACTAAAGCCACTGAAAGCCAGCCATGATGCAAAAGCCAAAAAAAAAAAAAAAAAAAAAAAACCAAAAACAAAAAAACCCCTCAATGTATGCAGAAATGAGGGAAGCCTGTAGGACCTGGTGTGGGAGGAGACAGCGAGACTGCTCTTCCTCTCAAAGACGGTATTTCCTTCCTCTACTGAGAGTTTTCTGTCCAGGCTCACCTGGTTGACCATCTCCTCTCTAGTGCCCCACAGACTTTATTATCCCCCCTCCATGTGCTGGGACCTCTCTATGTCAACTTCTGAGACATGCCCGGTCATCTATGTGCTTCTCAATCTCCGTGGCAAGTTTCAAAGTTTACAAATAGGTTCTCTCACGAAAACAAGCATTGTAGGACGTTTAAATAAAGATCTGACAAACCACAATTTATTAATAGGCTGCAGGAAGCCAGTAAGCATGTAATAATACTTGTTTACAACATAGAACAAAGGTAATTATGGTTTTGCTAGGAAACATCTGTAAGCTCTCTCTTAAACTGGTTTAGCAATAGAGTTTTATAAAGCGTTTCAGCTGGGGATTTAGTAGGCGTGTTAATGACCTATTAAATGTTCTTTATAGACTCCATGGCAGTATTGAGGGTGTAAAATGGAACTGTTTTGATGAGGGCAGGGTCTGGCTTGTGGCAAATTGTTTTAGTCTTGCTCTTCAATAGAAAAGACTTCTGTGGTCCTGTTTACTTAAAAGCAAACTACCAGCTGCTGAGTTAGTGTGTCTTGGAGTTCAACCCCAGGGACTCAAGTCCATGTCGTACTTGGTGTGTCTTCTGTCGTAGTGGGCAGCTTCGCGAAATGAACTGTGTGCGTTGGAAACGTTTACATTTACCCACTTTGCACAGCAGCCTTGGTGTCAGACGCTACACACAAGACCGAGCGCAATGAAAATGATTTCTAAATCTCATATGTCTTAGCTCTATACCTCTGGCTGGACACCATCTCAAATTTTTCTCTTTGCATTTTTATGTAATTCTGTAATTAATGTGTGTTACAATCATTTGCTCTTTTGGCTAACTGAACCTAAAGACATAGCTGAGACATAGCTGTAAATAAGGCATGTTCTGTATTTTTGTTTCCTGTTTGATTGGTTTCTCTAGGATTGTCTGCTTTTTACTTAAGGAATTTTTGTGTAGATGATATTCCTAAAAGTAGGATAAGTTATGAAAATTTTCAATTACTGAATTTGTAATAACATTTCAACATAGATCTTATTTGCAAAGGCCACTGGGGTGCCTGCATTAACTATAGCGACATGTACAATTTTTCTCCGATACTATAATATATAATCTTGTCATAACGTTTTGGAAGCCTCTCCAAATATGCTTAATAACTTATTTCCATAAGATTGAAGAGTTTTATTTATAAAACATAAGACCAAGTTAATTTATAAATCAGTATTACTAAGACACATCAGTAAGTGAAATACAGTTGGCGTTCTTTGATTCTGGTTGTGCTTTGTTTGAAGGGATAGAAAGTATCTTTTCAGAACTTTCATTAAAATTTTGAAATGTTTGTATTCTTTGTATGTGTGCCACTTTACAGTTTATGCAAGTTCTAAGCAATAACCTGCATGTTCTACCTGGTCGGCATCCGTCCTCACGACAGTTTCCTTTACTATTCCGAACGACACCAGTCAACATGGTAGACCCCTCCCCTCTCCCAGCGAACACCTTGGGATTTTCTCGTGTTAAAACACTACTATAATGTGGTGCAAACCTTTGTATTTTGTGAAAGAGAAATAAAGCCACAATTATTTAGCGCAAAAGTCTGTCTGGTTGGTATGTGCTTAAATAGTACGAGCGAGCGGATTGATGAGCTTGCCGTCTTCCACTCCCAGGATCACTCCTAGCAACTGCATCTTGAAAGTGGTTTTTATACCTCAAATTCCCTCCTCTCCTGGAGGAAATTCCAGCCTTAGAGAAAACCCGAAGCTGCAAACATTTTAGTCTGTGCTTATTGGCGGGAGGGTTGGGGCTAGCCAATCAATAGGCCCTTGTAGATGAAGGGACGCTTGGCAGTTAGATTTTAGATCTCCTGTCTTTGTCCACCCTGCCCCCTGCATCCCGCTCCTGAACTGTACTTTTTCCCAAGTGTCTTGCTGAAATTCCCTGCTTCTCAGATTGCGAGCAGTCTGAATTGTGCATCTGGGTCTGGAGCCTCAGTAGATCTGGAAGCTGAGCGCTAATTGAACAGACTGTGGGAGCGGTTTCGTCTTTGGAGAGTGTCGTGAGTCATGCTTCTCCACGTGCCTGAAACGTTGCATCAAGACTGCCATAGGAGCAGCTGAGTTGCAACATGAAAATAGCAGTCCCAGCTGTCGGCGGTGAGCGGCCCCAGGTGGGACTGCACAAATTAAAACCACTTGAAAGCAAATAGAAACGGGTCTCCCACTCCTTCAGCTGTCTCCAATGCATGTAATTCACTTATTCTTCTAGTGGCCAGTCTTTACCAAAGTCTGCTTACTGCCCCCCCCCATATTCCTCTGGATGGTCCCTAAGCATGCCCACAATAAGTATGATGTGGCAAATTTGTCATTTTCCCCTGTGCAAGTAACTGATAATCTGCCACATAGCAAGGCTCTTCGTGGAAGGACTGTACATGCGTGAGTGGCCGTGTCCCTTCGCGTTTAGGGCATAGTGCTTGGAACTCCGTGCTCATGGCTGCTAGTCCCTTCACTTTTATTTTCTTGTTCATTCTTTCCTTCCCTTTTCCTTCTCTTGTTCCCTCCTTGTCCCCCCTTCTTCCCTTCTTACTTCCTTTCTTTTTTGCTTGTTTGTTTCATTTTGTTTTTTTTGAGACAGGGTTTTGCTGTGTACCCCTGGCTGTTGTGGAACTCACTCTGTAGACCAGGCTCCTTTGAATTCAACAGAGATTTGCCTCCTCTGCCTTCCACATTCTGGGGTTAGGGGCATGCACCACCATCACCCGGGCCACCACTTCCATTTTCATCTACCTCCAGCTAAATCCCATGGCCACATCCCTTCTCATCTTACCATGCCCCTGATTATGTCAGCAGCAATCACCTGACCTGTCAAAGGGGCTCCTAGAGAGTAGTGAAAGGAAACACGGACAGTGGACATGTCTACTGAGGATAAGGTCTAATTTAAGTGGAAATCTGGAAGAAAAAACACAAAAGGTAAAATTGAAATGGCTTCAGAGAATAGGAAAAGCTGGATGTAATGCATATATTACTATTTAATTTGCAAAATAAGGTGAATAAAATTCTTATGGTATTACAGTATAAGAAATTCTGTAATTTCACTATTAAAATACAATAAGCATGCCTATGTCCTGTCTATGTAGGGCATGATCTTACCTGAGGTTTCAAAATCCTTTATTCTAAAAGCAAGCTTTCAATATTCAAATACCCAATGGTTATTTAAATTTCCTGAAAAGATCTGTGTTGCAGGCCAGCATCCCTGCAACATTCGAAGATGGAACGTGCGGTGTTTATGCTGTGGTTTGGACAGAAAGGCTTTATGAATGGACGCGGCCCATTAGGAAAGCACTAAACTGTAAATTGGGGACAGGAATTCGGGAAGTGTGAGGTACCTGAGCTGTGGCAGCCATGACTCAAAATCCTGGTTTTATCATCTGGAGAGTCACGTTTGAAGCGTCTCTCTCTGGCTGTCTGCCCCAGCTCTGCCAGGCTACTGGGAAGAGCTTTCATTTGCCACAATGCAGTTAGCAAAGAACAAGCATAGCTTTGAGAGTGCCGGAGTAAGGCTGACCTGAAAGGCATCTGAAGCTATATTCTCAGTGCCATCTGAGTGAAGAACAGAAAAGCCGGCAGAGAATTGTTCAATAGTTAAGCCTGGCGGGAGGGGAAGAGTGGTAGGGAGGATACTTAAGTTCGTTCATGAGTAAGGCTGTGGAGCTGACTGGAGACAGGAGCCACTGAGCCTCAGCCTCCAGGGGTGGGGGTGGAGCAGAGAGCTGGATCTCAGCAGGCTGGCTGCAGCTCTTTAAGAGACCCCCGTGAGACTCTCAGAGGGAAAGGGATGGGAGTCTAAGGCTTCGGGTGTCTTGAGTATTTTAAGATCTTGGCCAGTCCCCGACTCCATTCGGAGCTTCAGAAGCTTCTGAGGTCCTTTGCTGTGCTGTCTCTTCACTTCCGGTGGGGTCAACCCTGCCCATCTGGTCTTAGAGCTTTAGAAAAGGCTGGAGAGTCTTCCTTGGTCACACTCTGGAGTTTCAGCTGAAGGTCCCATAGACAGGGACAGTGGCGGATCAAGGAGACCCCAGCCTGGCTGGGATTGATTAAGTCCCAAGATGTCCTGAGCAGGTAGAGCCTTTGTGACTGGGACAGATTGTCACTTCGTGAGTTGTCCAGAGGTAAGAAGTAGACACATTGTTACGTTCTGAGTTGTTCAGAGGTGAGACATAGATACATTGTTACATTCTGAGTTGTTCAGAGGTGAGACATAGATACATTGTTGCATTCTGAGTTGTTCAGAGGTGAGACAGATACATTGTTACGTTCTGAGCTGTTCAGAGATGAGCCATAGATACATTGTTGCATTCTGAGTTGTTCAGAGGTAAGACAGATACATTGTTGCATTCTGAGTTGTTCAGAGGTGAGACATAGATACATTGTTGCATTCTGAGTTATTCAGAGGTGAGACAGATACATTGTTGCATTCTGAGTTGTTCAGAGGTGAGACATAGAGTCTTGACCATAGTTCCTTATGGAACACCACCAGTCTCCCGAGTTCCTGAATCCATTGGCTTAATCTTACCATCTACCTGTAAATTCTACTGGTAGGGGGGTGGGTGGGATGTGGTAGAGGTTAGGTAGGATGGCTGGGCACTGCCTACCTGTTTCTGGCTCTCTGGCCTGTAGCCCCTTCCTCCCTTATTGGTCTGTGTCCTCCTTCTCAACACCACATATGGTTGGCTTCCTTTTCCCTCCTAGAAAAATAAAACAAATATATTTATGGATTGGCAAGATGGTTCAGTGGGTAAAGGCCTTTGCCGCCAAGCTTGACAACCCGAGTTCTATCCCTAATACACACATGATGGAAGAAGAGATCCTCTGGGCTGGCTGGTTTGGTATGTCAACTTGACACAAGCAAGAGTCACCAGAGAGGAACAAGCCTCAGTTGAGGAAATGCCTCCATGAGATCCAGCTGTAAGGCATTTTCTCAACTAGTAATCAACGGGGGAGGGCCCAGCCCATGGTGGGTGGTGCCATCCCTGGACTGCTGGTCCTGGGTTCTCTAAAAAAGCAGACTGAGCAAGCCGTGGGAAGCAAGTCAGTAAGCAGCTCCCCACCATGGCCTCTGTGTGAGCTCCTGCCTCCAAGATCCTGCCCTTTTTGACTTCCTGTCCTGACTTCCTTCAGTGATGAACAGCAATGCCGAAGTGTAAGCAAAGTATGCCCTTTCCTTCCCAACTTGCTTTATGGCCATGGTGTTTCATCACAGCAATAGAAACCCTAAGTCAACCTCTTAGACGGCCTCAAACCACCATAGGCTTGCCATGGTATGCTTGTCCCCTCCCCCTAAATAAGTGGAATAGTTATATGTATACTCTCCTGTGTCTGCCTCTCATCTTGCTATAGGAGCGCTGGCATCATAGACACCTGCTACTATATTTGCCTTCACAAGGGCTCTAGGGAGTTGAACTGCAGTCCTTCTGCTTGCTTGACAAGCACTTTACTCACTGAGCCCTAGTCTCTCCAGCCCTAAATTCTAATTTTGATTATGACTTTATGGCTCTGAGTAAGACTGCTTTTTTTTTTAATGATTCTATGTTTGTCCCCTGCAAGAGGAGTTTGTAAGACTTACAATTGGTGAATCCAGCCAAAAAGGCTAAGTGCTTCAACATTCTTAGGAGAAGCATAAAGTTTTAATCATGTACTCTCCCGATATATTTGGAATCTGGTTGGTCTTAAAAGTATTAATCTTAGCATTAACCTTTGGAAGATATAAACATCTTTATCATGTTATCCAAATACAGAGCCAAATACAATTTTCTTTGTTTACATAGTAAAATATCATCAAGATGAAAAATGGATGACTAATAAGAATGTAAATAGTAAGTTATCTATTTTCTCATTAAAACAATCTAAAGCTTTCATTATTATGAAAAGTCAATCCATCATTAATGGGTCAGTTACCTTGGCTGGCCCAGTATTGGATAATCAGGACTGTTGATAAGACTTCCTTGTTCTTTTGGGGTTTATGTGTGTGTATGTGTGTATGTGTGTGTGTGTGAGAGAGAGAGAGACAGAGACAGAAAGAGACACAGAGACAGACACACATAGAGGTAGACAGACAATACAGAGAGGGTGAGAGACACACAGAGAGAGGAGCAAACAGAGATAGAGAGATAGAAACAGACAGATAGATAGGCAGGCAGGCAGGAAGACAGAGACAGACACGGAGAGACAGACAGGCCGACAGAGAAAAACAAGCAGGCAGACAGACATACAGGTAGACAGAAGACAGAAAGAGACAGACAGGCAGAGAGAGACAGAGAGAGAGGCAGACAGACAGATATACATACAGATATAGACACACAGAGAGACACACATGCACACAGAGAGACAGAGAGAGACACACAAAGGGAGACAGATAGACGGGGACAAACAGAGATAGAGAGAGACAGACCACACACAGAGAGACAGAGATAGATAGATGGATACACACAGAGAAGCAGAGAGACAGACAGACACAGAGGGAGAGACAGAGAGATAGACATAAGAACAAGAGAGACAGACAGAGAGAAACACACAAACAGGCAGACAAAGATAGGCAGACA